CACAGCAGGAGGAATGTTTTATGTGGGCTTTCCTGTTAGAGCTGCATTCACCTGCCAGAGAAGGGACATTGATTCTGGTCCTCCTGTGCTTCCACAGGCCATTTATCAAACCAAGATGCACCTGTGTGCTCAGAGTAAAATAAGCTTCATGGAGACACACATTGGCACTTCCCAGTTTGAGATATTCCCTTTTGGTCAGAAATTATTTTGTATTTCCTTTCCCTATGTTTCCTTTCCCCTTGTTTAAACCCTGAGGTGAAGCTGGAAGGAATGGAGACAAAAAAATCCCCCCAAACCCTTTAATCCCTGCCATGGAGCCAATGGTGTTCATTCACTCCTGAGCTCTCTTTGGAACTTCATTTTGCTTTTGAAAAACTGCCATCAACCTTTCATTAATCAGCAGGTGCATTTCTCTCTGAAAGCATTTCCATCAGATTGGAGCAGAGATTTGGGTTTAATCCCTCTGCCCTGGGGCACAGACATGACCCTCACTGCTTTGAGATGAATGGGAACGCAGTGGGATAGAGAGAAAAAAGGAAATATGATGATTTGTTCATGTATAAAATATCTTTTATCCATCAACACCTTCCTGGAGAAAAACATGACTTGTTTCCTAGCAAAAAACCCCCAACAAACCAAAAATAAAACAAAATGCTCAGATCTTTCAGCTTCTGGCCTTTTCCACTTTTCATTCCACAACTGCAGTAATGCTGCTGCTCCTGCATACATAACTCTGATTTTAAAGACTTGCTTGATTTTAATGCCTCTAAAAGTCTGCAACACAATTAATTTGCTAAACCCTAAACATGGTCATATTCTCATTTCTTGCTGTTTCTGAGAGGGTCGCAAAGCAATACAGGTCCCAGCTGAACAGAAATATCTACAGTCTAATGTTAGCATTGAACCTGCTACCTCTAGACCTTGACAATAATTTATTGTTTATATTTTAATTGTTCTATACTTATAAATAAATTTAATAATTCAATCCCTGAAGTATAGAACAGGAGGGGCTTATTCTATCCCTGATGTAAAAGGGAGTAAGCAGCTCTAGAATTAAGAAAAAGGAATTATTTTGAAGGCAAATCCCAGTTTAATGCTGGTGTAATTCAGGAGCCACTGCCATGAGCTGACTGGTGCAAGCAGGATCAGAATTTGGCTTTATTTTTATAAAGAGTTTTGGAGCCCAAATCCATGATCCTCAAACACATCTGTGCCTTTTAACAGAGGCAGAAGAAGCTTTCACAGAATGACCAGGTTGGAAGAGACCTTCAGGATCATGGAGTCCAACCCAGCCCCAACAGCTCAACTCAACCCTGGCACCCAGTGCCACATCCAGGCTTTGTTAAACACACCCAGGGATGGGGACTCCACCACCTCCCCGGGCAGCCATTCCAGAACTTTATCACTCTTTCTGCGAAAAACTTTTCCCTGCTATCCAACCTGTATTTCCCTTGGTACAGCTCGAGGCTGTGTGCTCTGGGTGTGTCAGTGCTGCTGCAGACAGAGCCCAGCCCCAGCTGAGCACAGGCACCTTTCAGGAGCTGCAGAGAGTGATGGGGGCAGCCCTGAGTCTCCTTTTCTCCTTTAATACATTCTAAGAGGCACACCTCTGATCTTTGATGCAGCAAATGGATGCAACTTCCGTGCTGGGGTCAGTTTTGGGTGGGGAAGCAGCAAAAGTGCTGAGCTCTGTTCTGTGTGGGGCCAGGACAGCTCACTCCACGTTGTCATCTGCAGTGAAGTCCTTGAATTTCATTTTATTGATGAGTTGGATGAGAACCAGAGTAGACCAGGCCAAGTTCTGGAGCCAAATTCCTGCACTAAGCCAGTCAAACAGGGTCCAATCCCAATGTCATCATTCCCTTGATTGCTCACGTCCCCAGAGTGAGAAGATTTCTCTCTATAAAGTGATTCCACCCCCAGCTCCTCTGTTTTCCTGGAACACAGCTGGGCTGGCAGCTCTGCATGGCTGACATTGCCATGCCTGTTACAGCAGGTCCATTCAGCAGGTTCATTTAACCCCTCAAACACCCCTGACAGAAGGAAGGAGGCATGGTTGGATGTACAGTGATGAAATAATTGTGAGCACGGTGCCTGGGGGCACAGCTCTGGCATGCTGATGTACTCCACAGTTTTTGAAGGAGCTCCTCAGCTTAGGGAAGATCCCATCTTCAGGTTCCTGTGCAGAACAGCCTGGTGGGGAATGTGACAGGCTGCAGAGGAGCCTGTGGTGAGGGTAAATATCCAGCTGGGGTTTTTCCCTGTCACATCTCCAAAAGGAAAACCTTTCCTGGCTGTCTTTGGCATATGGCTGGTGCTGGCTTGGGTTAGCACGGGGCTGGAACACAGAAAAAACCTGCAAACACACAAATTTCCTGCAAATGGAGAGGGAAAGGGAGCACAAGGAGAGGAAAGGGAAGAGCAGAGGGAAAATGCTCAGTGTGTCTCACAGGGTGGCTCACAGGCCTGGAACAGATGGGAAGGGATTCCCTCACATCCCACAAAGGAGGCTGCTGGCAGTGGTGCTGCACTTCTGCTCCACAGCTCTGTGCTCCAGCTCCTCTGCTGCTTGGCTGGCACCTGAAATTCCAGTTCACACCTCAGTGGATGCATTCCCAAGATTGGGCAGTGCTCCTCTGCAGCCCATCAGTTTTGTTGGGTATAAATATTTACCATGGCAGATGAACAGGGGGAATGGCTTTGCAGCCTAATGGATCCAATCTTTCCCAGACTGACATTGCTTCAGAACTCTGAATCAGTGAGACAAAGCACTTTACACCAAGGGGAACAACTGGGAAGCTGAGACAAAATTTTCCCTTGCTTCTTCTGGGCTTCCTTGAAGTTAGTCATTCACCTGGAAAAATGCAGGTCAAATCCTTGCTTTGAACCAGGCACAGCAGCAGAACTGGTGAGATTTCTCCAGTGTTTGCTGGGTGAGTCCTAATCCAGGTCTGAAAATGCTCAGCAGAGCAACACAAGCACCAAACACAAAGAGAATCACAGAATATCCTGAGTTAGAAGGGAGCCACAAGGATCATCAAGTCCAACTCCTGGTCCTGCACAGGACAACTCCAAAAATCAAACCAAGTGCCTGAGAGCATCATCCAAACGCTTCTTGAACTCTGACCAGGACCACTTAAAAGGTTCTTGCTTTTGAGAACCTTCTGGATTTTAATGGGATATTGTTTGAGGGTTGTCAAGGCATAAAGGCTTCAATTCAAGAAAAGTGGGGAAATTTTGAGCATCCTCCTGTTTTCGCTGCATTTTGGGAATCAGTGAGCTGCATTTTGATGATCTTATGGCACGTCAGAGTTGGATCCTCACTGCTGATGTGGGCTCAGTGCAAAGTAGCCATGACAAAGCTGGCTCACACCTGGCCAGCTTGGGATCACCAGCACTGTAATTCCAGGAATTTTCATGTCTTCCTGATGTTTTAGGAGCTACAGGCTGGGTAGCCATGTGACAGGATCTGAGCTGGCTCCCTGCAAGCTCAGGACTGCACATTTGCCCTTGGTGGATCACAATTCCTCACAGCCCTTTACCGACTCCAGCCCACCATGCTGTTATCAGTCCTACACCTGGAAAAATACTTTGGGAGCATCCAGCTGAGCTGATAACAGGCTCTGGCACAGTTATAGCATGGAACACTGCCCTGTCAGGACTCAAAAAGGAGCTGGATCTGCAAGTCTCCTCCTGTCGTTTGTTGGCATCCTTTGCTTAAGGCCAACAACCCCCAGCCCCACCAGGCTGCAGGTGCTTCCCTCCACTGAAATTTCATTTCATTGTGGAGAAATAAAGCAGGTAGAGAGATGTCTGAGCTCTAAAAGAGGAGCTCACCTCTCTCTCCAGGTGCCTGTGTTGGTGGCCCAGACACTCCTTCACAAGGACATGTTTTAGTAGGATGGGAGCAGCCCAATTACTGAGAGTACTTATGAGCTGGGCAGGGATTTCCCACCCTCAGCATAAAACTTTTTCAACCCCTCTTGATGCAGTTAATGGGACACAAACATGAGCATCTGTATCCCTGTATTTTGAGTTTGGGACTGTGGGGTTGCCTCAAATGAGCAGCACTGGGCTTTAGCATTTCTCCTTTGCCTCTCCACCACAAAAACAAGAATTAAAAAAAACATTCTCCCTTGGTTTTAATGGAATCCATGTGCATTCTTCAAGTAGGAATTGCCCCTGTGTGGAAACTAAAAGGCCTTCAGAAAAGAGGTAAAATGCACACACACATCTTAAATATCTAGCCATGCCTTCACATAGGATGAAAGTTTCCCAGAAAAGCTGACGAAGAAATCCATTTAATAGCTCCTGCACTCCTTCCTCCCTCCTGGAGTGCCAGTTGTGTGCTGAGACAACCTTGTCCTGATGAAAGCAATTTCACCTGCTGCTGTGACACTCATTTTTTTTTCATCTGGAGAGTGGCTCCTTATGGCAGCTCTGACTCAATTAAGGATTACAGGGCCCTGTATTTCCCTTTCCTGACAGTGTGTGCGAAGCAAGTGCAAATGAATTACAGCCCAATTATTTCCCCCTGATCCCTAATGATCCTGGGTGCATCGATGCACCGAGATCTATGGGACAACTTAAAGAGAATGAAAAAAAACACAGCCGTGCTCTGCTTTTGGCATCTGGCCCTGCTTTTTATACATGCAAATCGAGTTTCCTGTTCATGGAACACAACCAAGCAAAACACCATGCCACCAACACAGTCCTCACGTTGCTCCTTCTCAGTGATCTGCTCTTCCACAGGGTTCCTGGAAAGCTTCTGCTCCCAAGGATGGTGGGGAAATAGCAGAACACGCTGGGGCATCCTCTGAGGGGCTCTCCTGGTGCTGCAGCTTCATCTCCACCTGTGTAAAATGTGGGGGCCATGTGCTGGCCTCTCCCTTCCTGCTCATGCTCCTCCTGTTCCTTCTCCCCATGTCCCCAGCACCATCTTTGGTGCTGTACCATCACCTCTTATTCACAGGAATTTTGGCACATTCATATGTTTGGTGTTTTTTTTCCTGCTTCCTGCCTCTGTCTCTCCTTTACTGGCTCATTTTTTTTTTAAAAAAAGTGCAATTTGTCTGTTTGAGAGATGCCAGTTCTGGTAAAGCCACCAAGGACTGAGGCTCTCCCTCCCTTAGCCCCAGTGCTTCATTATTTATGACACACCAGCATCTCTCAGGTTGTCCTCAAGCAAGCTGGACAATTCCTCAGAGTTATCAATCCCTGAGGGCTTGAAACTGAAGCTTAAGTTGGGCAATTCCTCAGAGCTATCAATCCCTGAGGGCTGGAAACTGAAGTGCGAAAGGCCTGAAAAGAGGAAGAGCAAAAGTGTTCCTCTGCCTCCTGGCTCGTCCGATCTCATCCTGGACGCCAGTGGCTTTTCCAGTTGTGTGTCCTCTGTTGGCTCATGTGGAGCAGGTCATTTCACAGGGGTTTCTCATGGGATCACTGATTCCCGGGGATCCTCATGTCTCAGTTTGGGATGCTCAGTGCCTGGGGAGCCTCTCACACCAGGGAGAACTCGGCCTGGAAGCCGGAGCAGCGGCGCGTCTTTGGCGAGCACTTGGTCAGCATGGAGATCTGGGTGCTGAAGTTGGTGCCGTTGCTGCCCAGGGAGGGGTGGTGGTACTTCATGTCCGAGCCCAGGAACCGCTCCAGGTGCCACCTCCGCCACTTCCTCTTGAGCTCAGCTTGCACCTGGGCATGGGAAAGGGAAAAGGCAGCACAGGGCATCACTTGGTGTTCACAGAATTCACAGAGTGACCAGGTTGGGAGAGACCTTCAAGGTCATCGAGTCCAACCCAGCCCCAACAGCTCAACTCAACCCTGGCACCCAGTGCCACATCCAGGCTTTGTTAAACACACCCAGGGATGGGGACTGCACCACCTCCCTGGGCAGCCATTCCAGAACTTTATCAATATTTTATCACTTTTTCCTAATACCCAACCTAAATTTCCCTTGATGCAACTTGAGACTGTGTGTGGTCACATTTCTCTTCACAGAGAAAAGCAAGGCGCAACTTCCCAAGGATATTTCTGGGAATCGCAGCGAGGAACCTCAGAGAAAGAAAAAAAAATTCTTATCTCAATTGCTGCTCCTCTTGTTCACAAGTGGAATGCACTGTGGAAGATTGTTTACCTGAAGGAAATTGGTAATTGCATTCTGGTGTGTTTTGATTCATTGGCCAATTGAATCCAGGTGTGTGTGTTGGGACTACCACTGACAGTCACAAGATTCTGTGCAGTTGAGTTGAGCGCTTGGCAGATTTAGTTTAGATGTAATGTAATATAGTGTAATATAGTACAGAATAATATAGTATAATAAAGTAATTAATCAGCCTTCTGATATCTGATACCACTCTCCACATGCATTCATTCTGTCCTAGCTGCAAGCATTAACCAAAAAAAACCCTGATGGTCTGGTCTTACCTCTCCATTGAGAAAGCAGTACAGCACAGCCACCACAAACCCCTGGGGAAAGGAGAAAACAGGATTTTAGCACTGCAGACAGAGTGTAGATCCATTCATCTCCCAAAGGAGACATCACACAACCACAGAAGTTTTCAGGTTGGAAAAGACCTCTGAGGTCATCAGGCCCAACCAATCCCCCAGCACAGCCAAGTCCACCACTGGCCTGTGTCCCCAAGTGCCACATCTGCACAGTTTTTGAACACTTCCAGGTGCCAGATGTGCAGTGATGATGGTGCAGACAGGGTTGTTAATAATTCACCACTGAATGAAACTTGCTGCTCAGAGCCCCATCCACCCTGGCCTTGGACACATCAGTGATACAAAATCTGAACTGAGGTGGTTTTTTTCCTCCCTTAGATATGAAAAAACAAAGAGACACCAATGTACAGAGGAACATTTTATTTTCATTTCCTAAAATGAAGGAAGAAAATCTCCTTCTGGAAGGCAAAATATAAATTTATCTTTCATCCTGGCCGGGCTGGAGTGAGTAGATTTTCCACAAAGATAAATGAGCAGTATGGGCATGTCCAGAAAAAAAATCATGTACATCTCTTTGCATTTCTCCCTAGTGACAAACCTGGTGACCCAAATGGTGGCTTACCTGGAATGACCCAACCACGAGCTCAAAGACCAGCTTCACTTCTGCTTTGAAATTGTCAGGGAAGAAAGCAAACATGATGTAGTGAATGCCAAAGAGAGGGATCAGCAGCAGAGTGGACTTGGCCAGCCTCCTGTTGGAAAGACAAACATGAGCCACCAGGGGAGAGGGAAGAGGGTAAGAGGCTGAGGAATCCTGCAGCTGAGCCCTGAAATAAACCCTGAAAATTTATTATTTCTCCCTGTCCCACAGACTGCAGATGGCTGGTGATTTCAGACCTGGTGGCACCATAAAATGTGACATTTTTATTCCCAGTAGCTCCACTGGAGGTATTTCTTTCTCCCTCCTCTCTTCTTCCCCACCCACCAGAGATCTTTTTTTCATCTCCACAAGCTAAATCATCATCTACCAATGTCTTTGTTTGCCTGGGATTTCTGAAAATTACAGCTTCTGGGAGGGAAATGGTATGTTTAGCTGGGAATAATGACAGGCTACGACACAATGAATGTCTCCAAAGGAGGGGGATGAACAGTATTAGTGCTTAATGGCATCATGCTGGGTAATCAGGGGTTTAATTAGGAAGAGATGATAATGTATTAAATGTAATCATTATTTGAAAAGTAGCTGGCAGAAAGAAAATGAAATCAAGGGTCTAAGGATGCTTGTGGGGGTTTTGTCTCCCTTGGTCACTCCTATCTTGTGATATCTCCTCCTCTCTCAGAGGCTTCTGGATGGAATAAATCTATGGGATTTGGAATAATGTAATATTATTTTGGAATAATATAATAAAATAAATGGAATGTTGGAAATATTCATTTTTCCACCTGCAACCCCTCCACCTCCAAAGCCTCATCAGGCTCAGACCTCTCAGGCCATCTTCATTTATTTGGCACCTGCAGGAGCCTACTGGGAGGCTGATGTGGCAGCTCTGTGCAGAGGATGCTCATCCCTGTGCCTCCCAGAGCTCCTCTGCGGCTCTCCCTGGCTCTCCTCTCAACATTAAGGCTGAGATTGGAGGCTGTGGCTCATCCCAGCAAAATGAGAGCCTGCAGGGAGATGAGGAACTTTACAGGAGTTTGCCTTTCTCACATCCCTCACTAGCAGGCACACCCCTGCTCATGGGGATCCAAAATCAGAGTTCTCTGAGGGACATCAGCCTAGAGGAGGAGATGTGGTGCTACCTTTGTGTCCCACATTGACAGAGATGCTGTTTGCAACCTCCAGTGGAATAGAAAATTTCATCTTATCATTGCAGACAACACTGGGTCCTTAATTACAATATTTTCCCTCCTGGCTGGACTATGGTGATGAAAAGGACATAAATGACAAAACTTGAGCCCTCTCCTCCAATTTTCACACCTCACACCAGTCTCTCGCTCCCAACACTGAGCTTCACCAGATACTGAGCTTTAGATTTTATTTTGGCATCAAGGCAAGGGCTCTGTGATTTATTTTAAAGACTCCACCACCTAAACACTGCACTCAGGAAAATCATCACCCAGTCCGTGTCATTTCTCCCAGGAAGCTCCAGCCTGGCTGTGCAGGAGGCAGAACTGCTTGGGGGATTGTCTGAAGCTGGTTAAATCTGCTGGAAACCATGGATTCTCAAAACCCTCATTACTCTGATTCCCAGCACATCCCAGACCTTCACTCTCTGACTTGTCACACCTCATGACAGGTAATCTTGGGAGAACATGTGTCCATTAACCTGCATGAACCTGCTCCTGTCCTTGGGACTGGGCAAGAGTGAACCAACATTTCAGTCATGCTCCTTGAAATCATAATGGAAAAGTTACTCAGAGGAATTTAATGACAATATTGATCCACAGACATGGACAGAATGGAGGGATGAATTTTGCTCCAGTTTTCTGTTGCAGAAGACAAACTCCATTAGCCTGAAATATTGCTGTCCCACTCTTGCACATGTCCCTGTCATTTCCAGAAAACTGCTTGGGGAGACTTGTTTTTACAGCTTCCAGCACATGAAAGCCCAGTTCCCTGCCTGCAGCATTAATGAGGGAATCAGCAGCACACCTGAACTTCCAGCCTGCAGCTAAGCTCAGACCTTTTGGAGTTGAACAGTGCTGTCAGCAGGCTGTGTGTGTAGAAAATAAACAATATAAAATACACATGAGAAGGAAGGAGAAATGCAAATGAGCTATCCAGGATGGTGCTAGTTTAAAACAGATTTGTCTGAGATTTGGCAGGAGGAATGCACACAGAATCACAGAGTCATTTGGTTGGGAAAAACCTCCCAGACCTTTGAGTCCAACTGATCCCCACCTGTTCCCAGCCCAGAGCACTGAGTGCCACCTCCAGGCCTTCCTTGGACACCATCTCCAGGGATGGGGAGCCCACAACCTCCCTGGGCAGCCCCTTCCAATGCTTCACAACCCTTCTGGTGAAGGAATTCCTCCTGATGTCCAACCTGAACATCTCCAGGCACAACTTGAGGCCATTTCCTCTCATCCTGTCACTTGTTGCCTGGGAGAAGAGCCTGATCCCCATCTGGCTCCAACCTCCTTTCAGGGAATTGTGGGGAGCAATAGGGTCACCCTGAGCCTCCTCTTCTACAGGCTAAACACCCCCAGCTCCCTCAGCATTTCAGCAGCAGTTTTCTGCTAAGAACTGTTGGGTCCTGCAGTCAAACCTCAAGAAGTTTGACCTCGGTCTAAAAGTAAAAATCTTGGGACCACACTGAGAACTCACCTTGGTGGGATCTAAACTTAAGTTTCAGACAATTAGTATTTGTTTTCCTTGGAAAGTGTGGTGTCTTGTACCTACTGCAGTGAATTAAGTCAACAGAGTTTTCCAGATGTGGCTGGTGGCCAGGTGCCACTGTACAAGGGGACAAGTGTCCCATAGGTCCTGTGTGCTGTGTGACAGGTCCATGCAAGTATTGGAAGTGTCCTAAAGCACCTCATGTGCCTTGGAACCTAAAATTTTAGGGCCAGGTTGGAAGGAGCAACCTGGGATAGAGGAAGGTGTCCCTACCCATGGCAGGAGGTTAGATGAGCTTTAAGGTCCCTCCCAACCCAAAATGTTGTGGGATTCTATAATTTTGTGAAGTGAGCAACTGATTAATTCCCTAGGGGAACTGAGCCATCTTTGCAGGTGGTGAAGGAAGGTGAGGATCTGTGGATGTCAGGATCAGTTCTCCTTCAGCAGAAGCTCCTGTTGAGCAGCTCAGTGAGGAGAGCTCTGTGTTTTACCAATGTGCCTCACATTTGTTTACAAGGCAAAAAGAGCTTTCCTGGCAGCTCCACCTCACTGGAAAATGTGTCCTGAACCCAAAGCCCAGCATGACCTCTGAGATAATCTGGGCATAACTCATCAGGTGCATGTTGGCAGCACTTCTGCTGAGGTGAACAGGAGCTAGCAGTGCCAGGACAATGCTCAGTACTAGAAATTATTTAAATATGCTGATTTAATCTATGCACCTCCTGCAAACCTGTGGTGCAAAGATAAAATTCCCAATTGGAAATCCAGAAGGGCAGGTGGTGGAAAGCACAGGGTCTGGTAATGTAGGTGTGTTGTGATGACAGAAAAATGGGTAATTGGCTTTGGCTGGTGCCAGGAAAATTAAAGTCAAAAACTGGCATTTCCTTTCATAAATCTGAGAATCTCTTGAGGCAGATGAAATGAACAATTCACCAAAACCAGAGAGAAAGTCTCAGTGTTGTGGCTGGGCAGGATTTAAGGAACGTATTGTTACTTTTTTCCATCCTGCAGGAAGATGAACTGAGATTTTTCAGGGTACCCAAAAGCACAGCTCCCTCAGAAGACAAAGATTTACAAGCAGTGACCATGCAGACACTGGACTCTTTTATTGAATTCTTTTCTAGGAAACATTTAATAAATATCCAGGATAGCTGAAAAGCGGAGCCAGAACAGTGGGAAGAGTCAAAAATAACCTGGTCTGGACTTTTATTTTATTTGTATTGAAGCCAGAATAAATCTATGCAGATAGACATTTCTTTCACTCTTAAAATACTGCAGCTGAGACCAGCCTTGGCCACTGAGAGAGATGTTGATCTCTCTGGCATGTTGTTCATTATATAAAGCCCCATTAAGATCAACCTCATATCCCTGGAATAAAAGTATTAAGTCAAGTAAAACTTCTAAGCCAGTGATCTTTCTCAACAGAGAAGAGAGATGTATTGAGTTAATCCAATCTTGTTTAGAGATCTCTTTTAGGATGAGGAAAATTTGTCACAGATCCTACTGAATGGTAATTTTCTAGATCTCTCCTTTTTTAAAATTGAGGGTCAGGAAAATAAGCATGTACACTTGGAAGAGCAACTTTTTGTTTTCCATCAGGGTCTTTCTGCCTTCAGAATCCAATAAATATTGAATATTCAAAGAAAAATTATATTTGGCTTCATGATAATTATTATTACGCTCGTTTCTTCATCATTAATCCCAGGAGAAATCCCTCTCACCTGCCACAAACTGACATAAAACCTGACCAGCTCTTTTAGTAAATGCTCCATCTCCTGATTTCTAATCTGCTTTAAGCAATTAAAATTAATTGATTTTGATCAGCGCAGACAGATGCAATCATGAATCAAGGTGCAATAATGAATTATCAAGCAGCCAGGCAGGTTTCCCAAAGAGAACTTTTAGGATAGGGTTGAGAAGGTCTGAGACTTACGAATATTGGCTGGTTTCATTGTGCCCAACATCTGGGGAATGCAGCTTCTGGACTAAGATACGGATGATGCAGATGAAGAGGATGAAGTTCACCTGTGGAGATGGGAAGAGAGGGGTAAAACATCAGCATTCTCCTCCAGGGAAAAGAGCCCATCACTAGAGGGGAACTCCTCTCACTGGCATGGTTTTTGCCATGGAAGGAGCTGCTGTTTAACAAGCCATGAGCAGAGAGAGCCCCTTCTCTGGGGCAGGGAGCACATGGAAAACCGACACAGGATGATGGCATCTTGGGCCTGACATCAGCCTGCTTGGGACTTCGTGTCATACATCCCAAGTATGATGATGTCAAGCCCATAGAGCACAGCTTTGCACGACGTCCTGGAGCGCGCGCGGGAGGAGCCGCGCGTGGCGCCCGGCGGCTCGCCAGGCGGTGTAGCAGGCCCTGGGTCTAGAAGCCTAAAGATAGGAAATGCCAAGTCATGGTGAATGGGCTAGAAAGACCCCTTTTGCCTTTTGGAACCCCTGTTTATCTCTATGTAACCCTATAGGTCACTTTCCTTTAACCCTTGCAATTGGGCCATTTCTGATCCCCCTGTACCCTATATAAAAGGGCTGGTTTCTCAGTGCTATGGCTGGGCAGGATCCACTCCAGCAGGCCTCTGCTCAATCCTATTTGTTGCCATAGGATTTAGGTTTTATGTCTTTCAGATCCTGTACTGCTTTACGGTATAGATCTAAAACTCCGATGCCTATCAGCTGCTGTTCTGCTGTTTTATTCAGATAAAGCAATTCCTCTCTGGTCTGAAACTCAGGGACACCTGACTGTCTAGGGCCCTCAAAAGTATAAACAGAAGTGAGCAGACTGGCGGTATATGACTTCATTACCTGAAGCTGTAATTGGAGGATTTGATGCATTGGGTTTTAGGGTTTTTTGGTTTTTTTTTTTTCAGGTTCTGTGCTGCTTTAGTGTGCGGGTCTGAGTTTCATATTAGGGGATGGTGGGCTCTCTTCACAGTGTAGGCAGACAAAACAATTCCTTCTCTAGCTGGGGACCAAGGACATATGATCCAAATCTCAGGCCCATGAGCATAAACAACGTGGGCTGGAGAGAGAAAAAGGAGGATGGGACTTTATGGGCTGGAGCTGTGGCTGGACAATTAACTCCAAAATGCAAATGAGCCAGAACTCATAAAAATATGAGATCTTGTGACCAAGCCCTCTTTTGCTTCCATCTTGGAGCCATCTGGGCAGGGCCATGACTGTGGCTCCGGTACTGCCAGGGTTTGGCTTTTGAAGGCTCTTCAGTAAATATCCATTTATTCCCCTAAACTGTGTCTAGCCTCTGTTCCAGCTGCTTAAGGCATCAGTATAAACCCTGGTATGTAAATGGACAAAACTTGTAACTGTATAAAAAACTCATGACCACTGTCCATCCTGGGTGTAGCCCCTCTCAGAGGTTTCTGATTGCCCAAGGTGAACCTTTGAAGGCCTTTAATAAATACCCACTTTTATTCTCTTAATCTTGTCTAGCTTCTGTTTCAGGAAGCCACTCCAAGGCATCATGTTGGCCATGTTCTTTCTTGTGGAGCAAGGGACAGACCTCACCAAGGCAGCAGGGAATGTTCCCTCCTGGGATGTTAGACCAGAGCAGCCTGGCTGATACCCAGGTTTTAGATGGTTCTTTTCAGCCCAGAATCTCACAGTGCCCCACCAATGCACTCAAGCAATGTGAACCTTATTTAATAGCAAAGGTGTAGAGCTAGGAATGGGAATGTCCTGATGGCATGAATTGAATGCAAATCTGCTTCTTTCAAGGTCCTCTCTGTTGAGTCATCCTGTTACTCATGCAACACAAACAGAAAAGCAATGACAGATTTCTGGGGACTTAGTTCAGCTATGGTTTGGCACACAACCTCTTTCTTTATCCTTTCATGGTCAGTGAATGTGCAAATGATTCTGGTTTTTACAGGCTCAGCAGCTGGAAGGGATTGTGTTAAACCAGCCAATCTGATTCCCTGCAAAAATAGATTATAAGATTTCTTCCAGCAATTCCTACACTTATCACAACAACAGATGAATAAAACACACTGAAGCACATCTCTCAAATAGACTCTCTTTTTTCAAGGCCTATGAATGACTGGATATCCATTGCATTTCTTGGTTATGATGCACTGCTTAATCACTTCTTACCTACTTTGAGCAATTTATCACAGTTTCTGTTTGTATTTATTTCCTTAAAAAATGGTTTGTGTGTCTGATTTGGTGGGAAGTGAAATTTATTAGCCCCAAACCAGCATTATCTAGATCAACTACACTAATGATCATTGACAACACACAAGCTGCTGCAAGGAAGGCAAGAATGGAGTAATTAAATTCTGATTGTATTGGCTTGGAGAGGTCAAGAGCAGAGTGGAGTGTGTATATGGGCCTGGTATAACCTTGGAATTCCATGGCAGAAAATACAGGAATCAGGATATTGGAGAGTTGTTTAGATTATTTTTTATCCCTAGAATGTAATCAAAATAATCAATGTGTTCTCAGTGTTTAACACCTTGTACACAAGATATATCTCCTGAACCTTAAAGACCCTATAGATCTCGTGTATGTATTTCTTCCTTGTACAAAAGATATATTTCATGTATCTTAAAGATCTTATAGATCTTGTGTATGTGTTTTTTCCTTGTACACAAGACACATCTCATGTACCTTAAAGATCTTACAGATCTTGTATATGTATTTCTTCCTTACACTGAAATATCAGCTGTATTCCCATGGATTTGGAGGAAATGCGGGACTACCCCCTGGAGAAACCTGCTGTTCATCAGCCAGTGGCTATCATGCCCTTTATTTAGGAAAGATTTATACGGTATCTGCTAAAGGAAAATCAGCAACTGCTGGGTAAATTCTGTTTGGCAATGAGGAAAAGATTTATTGGCCAAGAGAAAATACAGACCCATTGGTCTGAGGAGAATAAAAGTGTGTTTTTTGACTGAAAGCTTATCTCAGGCAAGGGAAAATGCTATCTATAGCTTTCCAGGATGATATACATATTTGGAGATGTGTCATCTAAGGACTATATTTCTTTCCAGTGAGGTAAACAGAGCAAGATGTCATTATTGAAACTTTCAGTCTGGAATCCCTGCATGATAAATGCTACAGAAAAATAAAAAAAGTCCTCTTGTAAAAGTCATAATGTACATGGAATAAGAAGGATGTCTAAGGAAAGATTTCTGTTTAAAAGAGATATATTTGATTTGATTTCTGTTGCAAATTTTTTTTTTTTTTGCTTCCCTTCTCACATTGTTGACTTCATTTAAGAAAACTCAAAACTAAGTTTAACTCCAGTTCATTTGATCTTAAGGCTTGGATCCATGCCCAACAGAGCAATGTTCAACAAGGATGGAAGGACCCAGAGATCCTGAGAAGTGTCCTGGTCTCTATGGTCAGGATTGATCATATCCAGAGAACTAAAATAAAACACTTCTGTTGATTTTTCTGGAAATTGGCCAAACTTCTCCAGAACTTACTCCAAAAATACACAGCTGGAATGCAACTCTGTACTGCATGGAAGAGGCAAATTCCTGAGGGAATTCATCTACTCCCTTTTTATCTAAGTGGAAATTCATGGTAGGACTCACGTTAATTTGTAGTGTTGACATCTACAACTGAACAAGTCATCCTGGTCAGCTCAGAGAAACAGAACCCCTCCTAGCACGGGTCATCTGGTGGAATTCACTGATTCTCGGGGAAAAATGAGCTTTTCCCGGATGTCCAATCACATTTCTCCATCTCTCCACGGTCGCCATCCCACCAAGGAGATGGAGGCGCTCAAAGCTACATCAAATCAGCTCCACCCTGGTGGCCTGGCCACTTAAATTCCTCCTGTGGTCAATGCTGCAGGTGAGGGTGTCTATCTGAGGAGGAATTTCCTCATCTTAAAGCAAATGTTCATTGTACAGTGTGATTTTACCTGGCAGTGCATTTCCCATGGGCATTTAAGGACATTTCTCAACACCCCTTCACCCCTCCCCAGTTAGGACTAAAGATGGCTTTGCAGCCAGCAGAACGTGCTGATACTTTACCAAAATAGACACCAAAATAGGAGTTTTAATGATCCACCAGAATGGGGATTCCACTATTTCCTCCCAGCACCTAAAAAGAAACAAAGCCAGACTTAAAACATCAAGCACAACAAGCAAGCAGGTCTGTAGCTTTCTCTTTTTTCCCTAAAAACTCAGTTTTGCTAGGCTGGGCTGTGTGAAAAGGACTGAACCTTATGTATGGACTGGGAATGGCCAAAACTTGCTGTGAGCACTGGTAGGTACCAAATATCCCAGAGGTAATGGCAATTTTTTTCCTCTTGGCCATGGAATGGGCTGGTGGATGTTAGGCAGGGTGAATGTGGGGGTGGATAGTGATTTTTCTTAATTTCTCCTACACTGAGCTCTGCTGCAGGGAAATTCTATGGAAGCCATGAAAATTGATCAAAATTTATGAAAATATTCATCAGGGCTCAATGCTCTCCACCATCCTGGAGAGCATGGAGGGGGCTTGATAAACACAGAGCAATTGGCACCAGCAGAAAAATAAAACAAAAATCCATCACATCCTTCTGAAAAAAATGGATGGGGTTAGTGGTGGGGTTAGTCCCATAAATCCAACAAGCTGCACCTGAGCTATGGATGGAGTTAGAAAAGTTAAAAAGGGTCCAGGGTGGGATTTATTTCATCCTGAAGCCAGAGCTGTCTGCACACAGCACCCCTCACCTGGGACTGCATTTTAAAGCCAAGGAGGAAATGAGAGGAAAGGAGTGATGTGGAAATGACTGATATTGCTTGGGACACGTTTATCTGCGCAGCCAGGTGACAGAAGGTGCATTTTTAGGAAAGCATTCATGGAAATTGGGCTGCTTTCATGTAAGAATGGATTAGTGGTGCTTACTGCAGACAATTTCACCCAGATTCAGCTCCTCTAATTCCAAATGTTGGCAGGGAAGCCAGGAGGAGATGAAGAGAGGCACTTTTAGGGCACACTTCCTGAGACCTATTTTAAGCATCAACTTTAGGGTGATAAAAATGTGTGGTCCACTCTGTGGACTACACTGACTAAATCTGCCCTAACTCTGCAGGGAGATGGAGCAAATTTCTCAAATACAGATGCTTCCAGTTAGGTGTGTGCTGCCCTTTCATTTAGAATTAAAGTGGCCCTAATTTTGTCTAGTGCACTTCATTTTTGAAATAAATTGAGACAGCCTGAATGAAGGTCACTTTCACTTGGAGCTAGAATGTTTAAATAAAGTCTCAGTGTTGTTTAACCAATCTTACCTAATTAGGGTTTATTTCCTGTAATTTTTCTCTCCAGATAATGAAAAAAAAAATTTGTGTAAGGTCTTAATACGTTCTGTAAATTCATGCTCTGTTTTACTCAGCACAAAAATGTAGGGCTTTAAAGCCCCCAGATAATGCAAAGAATTCTGTATTTTTATTAAGAATTTTTGGAGCTTAACGGGAATATATAGTAAGAAAAACTGGTATCCTGAATGGTTAAATGCTCCTGTCTCTGTCTCATTGTAGAGGCTATTTATTAACAGAGTAAATAAGGTCAGTTTTATGCAGATAGAGTGGAACCATAAAGGAAGTGCACAGTTGCCCTCAGGAAATGTGCTGGCGTGACTATAAATCAAAAATGCAGTGAGAAATCTGAGCTGCTTCTTGTAGTGAAAAAGGGGCAAATCAGGACACATTTGGAGGGGAGGAATGCATGGGAGAAAATGGATTTAACTCCAGTATGCAAATGCAAGAAGTGAGGGAATGCACACTGAGGACAGAATCAGCACTTGATTCTGCCTCTCTCTGGGGTGTTTTCCTATAAACCCCTTTCCAATTACTGCAGTCTGACTGCTTGAATAAAAGCAAGAATGAGGATTTCAGGATCAAATCCTCTTTACTTGCACATATCCTTGGATAACTCTGGTGTCTGCCTCATTTTCTTAGCTGCATTCTATCTGCTTCTTATACAAAATATCAAAGGCTGTTGTTAAGTTAAAAAGGATGAAGAACAGATCCTAAAATCTGCTTGAGAAAAAAGAGGGAAAAAAGAATTTTTAGCCTTTTCCTGTGGGAGATAATTGGGTGTGTTTATAAATTCCATGCTGCATGTTTAGGGTCAATTCTGCAGGGTGCAAAGCTCTGTTCTGAGGGCCAAATGCAACCATCAAGGTCTGCTCACAAATTCCCTGCAAATATCCTGGCCAAGGCACTGGGAAGTAAAAAGGGGGAGTGACTGGCCTAAAATGACATTTCAGGGAGACCTTGGGGCATTTCCTGGCTCCTGGTGGCAGAGGAGAGGTGCCACTGCTATTTTTTGGGTTGCTAAAGCTGGAGTGCACAGGCTTACCCAACATCGAAAAAGTAAATCCTGACAATTGTCCAGGCAGTGATGAACACAGAGGGGGCACCTGAGGAGAGAAGAGAAGGTGCTGCTGTCAGAAACCATGATCAAATGGTTGCCTGATTTCATTGCCAGATTATTTAAAATCTGCCTCTTTTCTCAGGGCTGCTCTCCCTCCCTCTCCACCTCTCCTGAGTGACTGAGGGATGCCTTCCCTCAGGGGTGGGGAAATATTTCACATTTTCAACCCTCACATGCCAAACTGGCAATGCTGCCTTTCCCTCCCTGTGGCCATGCAAGATCAGCTCTCTGGAACTGCTCCCAGCACGTTGAAAATCCTGTTGAAGTGCCTGGAAAAACCTTCCAGGGTGAAATGCATGGAACTGGGGTCACTTAAGCCACCTACAGTGTGGACACCTGTGCCTAAGGAGGTCACCACAGGTTCTTTTCAGCATCAAGGAGCAGAATTGTGTGTTTCTCACACACAGGTCATCCAGCTACGTTAAATGTTTGATTTAGAACAAAAACAATGAAATATCCCTGGACTGTTTTGCCCTTTAAGGGAGCCTGGAGTGCCAAATTCACAGGTGAAGCTGCCTCTGCTCCTCACTCCATGATCTGTCACATTTGGGTGGTCTTGTCCCATCCTTGTGCTGGCTCTTTTCTCTCTCTTATCTTTGACTGGATTTAGGTTGGAAATACTCCAGGAAAGACATGTCTCTTTGCTCTGTGTTACTCACAGATTATGTACACGTTATTACCAGTGATTTCCAAGTGCAATGGTACTAAAACCAGTAAAAACTCTAATTAGTGCATCCAAATTATTAATTCATGCATAATCCATTCCAGGCCCATCCCTGATGCTCTTGCAAATGATGGATGACTGAAAGGCCAAAATATCCCTCAAGCACTTGCCATGTTCTGGAATTGCCCTTTTGTACCCAAGCAACCTCAGGACACATTAGGAGAGCAAGAAATTTCCTTTGATTTAAATCATTACCTTCATGCATTTTTCTTTAAAACCTGCCAGCTCTCCAGTGCTGAAATAAAGAATATCTGGAGCACAAGGTGAGTTTAACAAAGGTCTGACCTGAGGAACTGAAATGAGACCTGCTGCCATCATCCCTCCTTCTGCCCAGAGCATGGAGAATCATCTCTGCTTTGCAGCGTGAAGCCAAGCATAGCTCCTGCCACTTTTAATGGAAGTTACTCCATGGATAATTGAGCAAATCCTGAGTCCTGGCATGTCCCTGGACATGGCACAATTTTATTTTACATTTTCTTCTCAATATTCTTCCCTGCTCTTATTATTTCTGTTTCAGCTATTGAGAGCAGGCAGTAGAAAGTTATTTGCTTACTTAAATATAAATCTTCAACTAAATGGCATGAAAGGGGAAAAAAAAGATCTCTGTTTCCTTTTTTAAGAAATAAAAGAAGTTGATCTGGTAGATTAATTTGCATAAGCCAGAAATTCAGTTGTGAGTTACTTTGTGAAGAGCTTAATTCTCTCTTCCTACCCATTTTTCTAATTTTATTTTGTTTTGCTATTTTATTTTATTTTATTTTTACTTTATTTTATTTTTTATTTATTTTATTTTCATTATATGATATTAATTTAATTTTATTTGATGCGTTTAAGACCAGATTCGCATTAAGGAGAAATCACCAATGCAGTGAGCAGGAGGTTATCAGCATTAGCACACAGGTGATGGGATCTCAGGGCAGCTGGCTGGCCTGAATTCAGTGTCTGGTTCAGCCCAGAAGTTCTGCTTTGCTGGGATCCATCCTTACAATTTAGGGTCAATGCATGATATCAAATTTGGGATCCTGAATCAATATCATGATCATGATATTGATAATTCACATCAAGGCATGATATCAGTCAGGATCAAGGAATTCCTTTCCAACACCCAATCTAAATCTACCCTCTGTCAGTTTGAAGCCATTCCCTGTGTCCTGTCCCTCCATCCCTTGTCCCCAGTCCCTCTCCAGCTCTCCTGGAGCCCCTTCAGGGCCTGGAAGGGCTCTGAGCTCTGCCCGGAGCTTCTCCTCTCCAGGGGAACATTCCCAGCTCTCCCAGCCTGGCTCCAGCCCCTGGAGCAGCTCCGTGATCTCCTCTGGAGTTGCTCCACAACCTTTTTATTTTGGGGACCCCATGGCTGGCTGCATCTCTGCAGGTGGATCTCAGATGAGGAGAGCAGAAGGACAGAATCACCTCCCTTAACATGCTGGTCACATTTTTTTTGATGCAGCCCAGGACACAGTTGGGTTTTTGGGCACGTTTTGAACTCATGTCCAACCTCTCACCCACCAATCACCCCAAATCGTTCTTGGGACTTAGAGGGGTGGGGTGCTGCCTACAACATCTGTCCTAGGGTGATGTTATGATGCTTGTATCCCCATTTGTGTGTTCTGTTTATGCTGGATATCATGTTCTGTGCCTTCAAGACTGGCTCTGAAGAGCAAATGTTTTGTTTTGTTATCAGCCTGCTCCCCCACGGCTGGTGGGACACAGAGACAGGGCAGTACATATTGCTGCTTTTGCTTTTTGCTTTGCTTTTCACTTTGCTATTGCTCCTGCTATGCCCCTGCCTTGCTCTTGTTTCTGCTCATTAGTTAGTTCAGCTAGGCAGTCTGAATTTTCCCTGGACTGTTTTTCCTTTCCCTTTTTTGGAACCACTTGAGCCTGCTCTGGACTGGGACCTGGAAACACAGAGAGTTTGCACCTTGTGGCTGCAGCAGCTACCTCAGCACCAGAAGGAATGATAACACAGTGACCACTCCCAAGAGAGACCTGAATTTGTCATCTTTTCCAGAGGGGTATTGTTCATTCTGTGTGCTGGGGGGTGCTGTGCCTGTTAAATAAACAGGTTCTTTCCACTTCTCTCTGAGGAATCCTTCCCGAACCAGTCATGGGGGGAGGGGCCGTGTGGGTTTGCTTTCTGGAGGGACCCCCTTTGGAGGTTTTCTCCCAAATTTGCCCTAAACCAGGACAACACCTCTGCCCCACCTGAGTGCCCAGGTATCTGTGCTAAATTCCTGCTAAAATCACCAGTCAGGATCCCCTCCTGGAGCATACCCCAGCCAATCAGGATGTACCACCAGAAGTATTTCCTCTCCGAGAAGAAGGAGATGACCAGCAGGGTGTGAAGGTACAACCCCTCCACCAGCAGCCAGAAGAAGTTGGCCATGACACAGTACTGGAAGAAAACCATCATGGCCTTGCAGCCCACCTGGAAGAGAAGAAATGAGCAGTGGTGAACTGTTGGAGCCCTGGGTGCTGAGAATTTCAGATTTCTGGGCTGACCCTCAAGAGAACACTGCATTGACCTGAGGCCGTGGAGAAGCTTCCAAAATGGAATGACAGAACTGGGATTGTGGGTGTGGAGTTTGAATAGAAGTGTGTGATATCACAGGGTGGGAAACTTAGGGTTTAAGGGTTTAGAGTATAGTAATAGATATAAAGCAATATAGGGGTTTTAAAGCAGAAGCTGGTCCTTCTTCACCTTCTTCTTCATGAGTTTAAGTAGTATTGTGTAATTAGATAAAAAAATCTGCATTACAGACCATGAGTAGTTAGTTTTTAAGTTAAAAGTAAAAATAACTTGTGTCATTTCTTGATTAGACGGTTTATACTTAAAAATATCTTATAAAAAAAAGATACAGCTCCATTTTTAACTCATTAGAAAGAAGTACTATAAAACTCACACTTTATGAGACTGTAATATAAATAAGAACTACTAAACATCCGAGTCCAAACAAGAAATACCATCTCACACATTTAATCCCAACCTTAACAAAAAAACCCCAAAAAACCGAAACCAAAACAAAACAAAAAACCAACAACAAAAGTAAAAAAATCCACATAGTGGTGCCCTGTGTTAGGAACTGCAGCACATTCCCACAAGAAAGAAATTTCCACCAAATTACCAGTGATCCTTGCTCTGGGTGTATCTTTGGGGTTGCTTTGTGCAGCACCTGAACTCCTCATGGAATGAATTCTGTGCTGAAAAGCCTACAAGAAGTTGCTCCTCTTTAGGAAAAGAAGCACTGCGATATGTATTTTTAAAATAAAGGATAGGCAGGACAAGCAGGGCAAGCACACAAAAGCATGCAGAGGTTTCATTGCTGTGAAAGGGGAGAGATTTGAAAAGGGAAGGTGAATTGTTTACCTTCAGGAAATGAATAATTAAACACAGTAACTTGCTGTGTGGAGATTTCACTGCAGCACAGGTAATGGGAACAGTTCCCTTAGCAAATAAATAAATACAAACAGAAATTTCTGACACTTAAGACCGATTTCTGACACTAGGCACCCACTGCATCATTACACATCCTCAAGGTTGGCTCAGCAATTGCCCTGCTGCTTTCAGTGGGTCTGCCTGGGTGACACCCTGCATTTTCTGGGGCAAGAGTTTGCTCAATCTCTGCTTGGTGGCACTTCCCTGTGTCCTGCACGTGTAGAATGTTTAATTTAGAGCAACAATTTTAATTTAAAGCACCAGTGACAAGACCCCATTTTCCCCTCTACTCCTCCCCTGCTGAAAGCAGTTGCTACAAAACACTGGTTAAAAGGAGAAGTGTGGAAAGAGATTTTTCAATGCCACGTGTTTTGGGAGGAACTGTCCCCACCCTCACCCCTAAACCCACCAGTGTTTGGCCCTGGGGACCCTGCTGGGCTCCTGATAACCATATGGAAGGTAAACACCCTCCTAACTCAGAATATTCTGTGCGTGACTTCAGGGGCTGCCTGAAGGAGGGAAGGTGGCACAGGGCAGGGCTGGCAGAGCTGGGGATGCAGCAGCCTTATCCCAATGGCATCACTGTGGCGTTCACATTTTCTGGAAAATTCCTTCACCCAGGGTTTTTCTCCTGGGAAGCTGAGAAGCCTCAGAGAAAAAGGAAAACAATTCTTATCTCATTTGCTTCTGCTGTGTTGTGCTCCTTTGGAATGTGTTTGGAGACTGTTTACCCACAGGTGATTGTTTCATTGGATTCTGGTGTGAGTTGTTTTCACTCTTTGGCCAATCAGGGCCAAGCTGTGTCAGGACTCTGAAGAGAGTCAGGAGTTTTCATTATTATCTTTTTAGCCTTCTGTAAGTATCCTTTCTCTATTCTTTAGTATAGTATAGTATAGTATAGTATAGTATAGTATAGTATAGTATTCTTCATTATAATATAATATTATAAAGTAATAAATTAGCCTTCTGAGAACATGGAGTCAGATTCATCATTCCTCCTTTCCTTGGGGATCCCAGCAAATACAACACATCACCACACCTTGGGTTTCTCCCTGATTTTGTGTGCACGTGGCTGTGTGACAATGCCACCCCTCCTCCCTTCCCCCCAAAACCTGAGTGCCTGCTGGGTGTGTCTGCAGCCAGCAGGGATCTGTGTGTGAGTGAATTCCTTCATGGTTTCACTCTGTGGGTGTTTGGCCCTAATTCAGCAGCTCCCAGGCGAGACACTGTCAGAACCCAGGACATTCCTCTGGCTGCCCTGGATGGCTCCAGACCCTGGCAGGGGGCTCAGAGCCCTTGGCACGGAGTCACAAACACCTGTGCCTTTGATTTTAGCCCATGGAAACAATTACCAACTTTGTGTGAGGAGTTACAAGCCACAAGGGTTTGAGTAGAATGATAGTGAATTTATCACAGGGTGAAAAAGTAGAATTTTGGGGATTTAGAATGGGGGTTCAAGAGGCAAGATGGAGGAATCTGGGCATGTCCTGTCCTTCTCCTTCTTGGCCTCCATCTTCTGCTGTGATGGTGGCACTTCTGGATTGGTTTAGAGTAGACTGTCTAACATAGGTGATAGGTATTGGAAAAGTATTGTAAATAAATGTAGGGGGACATAGTATGGGTAAAATGAAGGTAATGCAGAGTGTAATCTTACCCCCCAATGAGTTGCAGCTGGACCCTATTACTAAAGATTAGGAGCAGGTCAGATGATAACAGGCAACACCTGTAGCAAATAAGAACTAGCGGCATAAAAGAGAGGATTGGTGGCCAATCAGAGGAGTCAGATGGCTACTGCAAGGACCAAAAATAGTCAGTGCTTAGAGGAGCTGTCTGTGAGAAACTTTGAGGTATGAAACTCTGAGGCTGTGGAATCCTTGCACCATAATGATAACAGAACTGTTGTAACATATAAGACAGCAAATAAAGTACATGTAGTTTTTAGTATAAAAAGCTAACACCACCCCAAGGGTGGTCACTGTGCCTCAACCCGACCTGCTACACAATCTCAGCAGGTCAGACAGAGAATGTCATAGACAAGAGAAAATAAACAACCTTGAAAAGCAGAGCCAAAGAGCCTCGGTCGTGGCACTGGGAAAAAAGACCTTTTAATACCTTGGGAGCCATTTCAATCACAGAAAACCCGAGAAGACACGAGGTTTGAGGGGGCAGATCTGATGCATCTCAACCACCTGCCTGTAAAACAAGGATTTCCTTTGGGGATTGTGCACCAGGGGATCACTTCTGGATGGTTGCACTGAGCTCATGGCAGAGGCAGGAGCACAGCACAAGGGGCTGCAAGGCTTCACAGCACAAGGGAAGGCTGCTCACAAACAGTGCATGTAGTTTCTGCCCAGCAGGAAAGGAAAGGAAATCCCTCAGGAAGGGATTTCCAGCCTGACTTTGCAGAGCTATTGCTGTACAGAGAGAAAGCTGTACTGAACTCAAGCTGTGGCAGCAGAAATTGCAGATCCAAATCCATTCCCTCTTCTCCCAGCACTGGCATACATCAATTTTGTGGCAGTCTCTGGCCCTAATTCCTCCCTTAAAGGGGTGGTGACTTGTCACAAAAGCTGAGGTGGATCATGGTTAGCAGTTGGATCTGATCATACCCTAGATCTGTCCAACCTTAATAATTCTATAGTTAAAATAATTTATTTATTTTATAGTTTTATTTCTCCATACACATGGGCAGCAGCTGGGTTTTGGCAACTTCTTCTTCTGTTCTTGGGTAGCAGATCAGTTCTTTGCTCCTGGCTGAGGGATATTTGCTTATTTGAGCATTTCCTACCATTCTTGGAATTTTTGGTTTCACCTGGAGAAAAGACCTTTTTGTTCAGCATTTTGAGTGCATGGCAGTAATGTCTTGCAGCCAGGGAACCCCTGTGGCACTGGAACAAAGTTGGATGCACTGTCCTGTCCTTAAAATTTAATAATGACGTTTTTCCACTGCCTGGGCTTGCTACTGTTTCCTTAAGTGGGTAAGTTTAAAGCAGATATTTCCATGAGAGGTGCAGTTTGATTGTTGATGATCCCATTGATCCTGTTTGACAGTGGCACATTTGGAAAACAACCCTTTGTGGCTTTTGGGAGACCTTATTCCATGCAGCACTTGGTAATGGGTCTCCACCTTCGTGATTGATTAAATTCAGCCTCAGAGAGGCTGGTTTAATGCTGGGGAATAAAATCCTCCTTTATGTAAGATATCTTACCCTTTAGATGACAGGCACAGGGCAGAGATGAGCCATTACATCTCTAGAATTTATTTTTTTCCATAAAGAGCAGAGCTCACGATGTGTCACTGTTGAAAGACTAACATGGGCTATTTTTAGAGCAGACATTTTCAAGAGAAAAAGCTGAATTACATCAGTGCTTTTGCTACTCTCTCTTCTCCCACAGGCTCATTTACAGATCATTTCCTTGCCTTTCCTCAGGGATCTCGCTCTGCTCATGTCCACAGCAGATGTGGCAGTGAGATGGTTTCTCCCTTGGTTTTGTGGCTCTTCTCTTGTTCCTCTCTCTAGAGCTGCATCAAGGATGTGCCATTTGCTTTTCCCCTGAAAATCCCTCCCTTTCCACATGTGTTTCCAATGGCTGAACTCTGGGAAGGGCTTGGCCTCCAGCCACCAAGGCATTGGGCTCTTGACCCCTCCTGACAAAGTCTTGGAGCCCAACACATTTATGCTTCTCTATCAATTTCTCACAGTCAATAAGAAGATTTAATTTTGATTATTGTAAAAAAAAAAAAAAAAAGATTATTTGTATTGTAAAAAAAAAGATTATTTGCTTGAGGATGGGGCCTGTCTTAGACCTGCTTGAGGGCTTTCAAGAGGAAGAACCAAAGAGAAGGGACACAAGGGTGGGGACAAGAAGGTTGAAAGACAACCCTGCCAGGTTTTTGTCTTGTGCCCATATTTTACTTTTGGATAATGTTAGCCCTGAGAAAAATATCTTTCTTTTCATTTTTTAGGTGAGTCAGCTGGTCACTACATCAG